CTGTTAACGTCGGTGTGTACAACAGAATTGTACCAAAACTACGTCAACTGGCTGCGGTGGGAGACTCCCCTGTGCACATTCTGTGCCCCGCGCACACACTGGAGAACTGCGCAAAATCAGCTGATCACAACGTTCACGCTCTGTGGTCAAGCTGCTGCAGTTTTATTTACAACAAAGTGGAGTAAAACACACAGCTGCAAACTTACTCAGGGTGTTATGGAAGAGTTTGAAATCAGACAGAGGTGGAAGAAGTGTTACTCAAGTAAAATTAGAAAAGTATTATCATCAAAATCTAGTTAAAGTAGCGACAGTAAAAGTAGTCATTTTGCAGATTGGTCCATTTCATAATAATGTATATGATATGTTTTATAATTATTGATCATTAAAGTGTTTAAAAATTAGTTTGAATGACTTTGTATACTGCAGGGTAGCTTGTGGATTTACTCCAGGTGGAACTAAAGTCTGATTTAACACTTGATTATATTTTCACATCATTCATCCACATCTGTAAAGTAACTAAAGGTATTAAATAAATGTAGTGGAAGAAAAGTACATGATTTACCTCTGAACTGTAGTGGAGTAGAAGTACAAAGTAGCATAAAATAGAAATACTCAAGTAAACTACAAGTATCTTAAATTGTACCTAAGTACAGTACTTGAATAAGTGTACTTAGTAAGTTCCCACATCTGAAATCAGATATGACTTCAAGTCATGTGATAATTTCTTAGTATTTGATCCTTCAACTTGGCCTCAGGAAATGCAAGGACTTCACAGTTTTGGCAACAAGTTTTGGAGAAAGCAAATTGGAGGCTTACAAAGAGACAGGGAGGTGCATCTTCATCATCTTCATCATCTAGCATGCAAGAAGTGTAAATAGAGGACAGTGAAGGAGACACTGAGGAGGACAGTGAGGAAGACTGCACTTATTAACACCACGCTTCATGTGGGGTGAGTACCAAACGCTGTCTCCTGGTACTCATCTGAGTAACTCACTCAAAAAGTTATGTGCACACCTGGCTATAAGGGCTATAAGGGCTATAAGGGCTATCAGGGCTATAAGGGCTATAAGGGCTATCAGGGCTATAAGGGCAGCATTACAAATCATAATGGTTTTATTTTGTCCTAAATACAAAATTATGCAAGTGTGATACATGTCATTGTAAGAAATATAATCAGTTCTACATTTATGAAATGTGTAATATAAACCCCTTCAACTTAAAGAATATAAAACAACAACTTCACACTTTTCTATATACATTTACTGGTTACCTGTGGACAAATGTAATCAGCAGCCTAACCTGAGTATCACAGTATAAAAGTAATGTAACCTGATTACAGATTACAAAATAATATGTATACAAACATTTGAAAAGTGTATTATTTATAATACACTTATCTAACTTTAGAAGAGAAGAAACCAAGATCTTTAGTATACAAATATGTCCTCTGCGCAAAATCAAGCAAATAACATATTAGACTAACAGTAAAAGTAAAAAAAAAAGAAAATCAGAGCAAACAAAAAAATGCCAGGGGAAGCGTTCTGTAAACTAAAGTACAGGATGATCAATGTAGTGTAACATTGTAATCCTGCTAGTAATCCTCAATTTATACAAATGTAATCTGATTGCGTCTTTTTAATGTAACTGTAAGGGAATACAGTTTTTTCTACCCTGATTATGTAATCCTGTTACATGATGTAATCCCTTACTTACTTAGCCTGGATGATCACAAGATATGAACGTAACTTTTTACAGCAGTGAAATATGTTTTAATTTCACTGCCAGGGTTGCAGCTGAGAGAATAAGGCTAAAATATGTCACACACGATCATGAGTAGATCTGACTTTAATAACATGTATGTACAATAACTGCCTGTGACTTTATTTCTGTCTTATTCTTTAAGCTGCGTTGTAAAACTTATGCAGCAAACCTAAAACCTAATTTAAAAACGGGAATAAAATGAAACACCATCAGCATTGTGTACATTGACTGTTTTTTATTCCAAATGTGTGTCTATATATTGAACATCAGAGGGCGGGTCCCCTCCTAAAGTCACCCCACAAGAGAATATCAATAATAATGATAACAGTAGAATCATCAGAATCATATCCACCTGTCTCTGAGCACTGCTGGTTGACATCTGGGGGGTAAAATAACAGCAGACAATATGACTTCTATAGAGTGGTGCAGTGACGAGTCCTAAAACCAGGAAGTGAGTTAGCATTTTACCACTACCGGTTCCCTCGTCTCAGAGCCAATGGGATTTCTCCATTGGATTTTGGAAAATATCTGGAAATAAGGTCTGTGGTCGAGACACATTGAAGAGACGGATCACGTTTTGTTCTAGGACATTAAATACATCAGCAGTGACCCCACTGGTGATTTCTGAAGAGTGTACGTGTCTGAAAAACGATGGTTGTTAACAAGTGGCTGAATAGGACTACAGAAGTCGTGGAGGACGTTGTACGTCATTACGCCGAACACGTAAACACTCCCGCTAAGTTTGTTTGCCCTGTTCTGCTTGAAAGCAAGTACCTGCCTCCTGCAAACTGTTCAAACAAACGCTTCAACTTGTACCATTTAGAATCTGTATGTTTGAATATGGATCTTAAGTTGGCGTGACGTTGAAGCAGCGACCCTGCTGTAGTTCCTTTATAGCATAACGTTAGCATTTTGCTTCTGGCAATTAGATATATGATTAAAAAATTATAAAAGTAGGGTAGACATGTGGATATTATCCGGCTGAACAAAATGTGCATTTATCATTATGCATGTATTTAACAGGTTTGTTTTCCACAGACCTTATTTTGAGCTATTTTCCATTGCTTTTTGTCGAGGGAACCCACGCATAGCTTACTTCATACGTCATCCCTGCACCACTCTATTGGATTCATATTGTCACACACACACACACACACACACACACACACACACACACACACACACACACACACACACACACACACACTGATCATCATTAACACCGTTTCCCTCGCTCCCAGTCCCCACAGGTTACTTTATAACTCTAACAGCACTTACCATGAAAGAGGAAACATATATGATAGAATTGAGGAAATAAGCGATTCAATTGGACACAGGGAGGAAATCTCAAACTGAAATGTAGTTTTTTATTTTGCGATCTGCCGTCCACATTTACCTGTGAGTGTGAGTGTGTGTACAGTACATGTGTGGCCACAGGCAGCTTGAATAATCACCAGAAATATACACAACTGCACTCAGGGAGTTCCTCTACTGTTAGGGAGTGTGAGGAAATGATTGGATCGGTGTGGGCTTTCAAAAGGTCAAACACTCTTTTTGTGAAGTGTCTGTAACAGGATGGGATTCCTTCAACTGGATTTAGCATTACAAACAGAATCATTTAGGACTGTGTACCTTTACATTTAGAAGACATGATTAAAAAGAGAAAACATAATTAATATATCTTAAATAAATGATAGATAGTCTTTGCTTTGAGAAAATGAGAGAAGTATTTGACTATAACAGCTAAAAAAAAGACGATCCTTCACTTAAAGAGCTACTACAAATAATTTGCATACAGTCCCAAACAGCTGGTATGTGTTCAACCAAACAGCTGGTATGTGTTCAACCAAACAGCTGGTATGTGTTCAACCAAACAGCTGGTATGTGTTCAACCAAACAGCTGGTATGTGTTCAACCAAACAGCTTGTATGTGTTCAACCAAACAGCTGGGCAGATCTGACACAAATCTGAGTGTGTCGCACACTGGTCTGCTCTGTATTTCTAAATGTCAGCAGGCTCCGGCCCAGATGTGGACCCAGACGTGGACCCAGACGTGGGCCCAGACGTGGACCCAGACGTGGACCCAGGCGTGGGCCCAGACGTGGACTTAGACGTGGACCCAGACGTGGACCCAGACGTGGACCCAGACGTGGACCCAGACCTGGCCCGCGTTCAGAGCTGGAGGAATGCTCCAGGTAGAAACAGCTGCAGAACACCTGTTCTGGCTCTATGATTCAACACAAGTCTGCATCAGTGCTGAAACTATCCCTGACTCATTTTCCTTTCAGACAAAGCTATTTTTTGTTAGCTACATGCGATTCTTATGTTTTTACTTTGAAAAAGCAAAGCAGCTCTAAAAAGTTGAGCTAGCTCTTTAAAAACAGGAGCTCAAAATGTCCTATTCACAGAAGGCTAGTTTCTGATTGACAGACTATTGTTTAACCACCTTTACACAAAAATAAAGAACTCTGTTCCGCCACCTGCTCGTCAGTTTTAAAACGGCTCCCTGTGCACGATGCTTCACTTGGTAAAGAACAAGGTCCCAGCACAGCAGTGGACTTCAGGTGAGTATAAAGCTCTGTGGTTCTGCTTAATCACAGCACTGATTGGTCAGCTCTGTGGCTCTGCTTAATCACAGCACTGATTGGTCAGCTCTGTGGCTCTGCTTAATCACAGCACTGATTGGTCAGTTTACAGACGTCTGCACAAAAAGCAACAAGAGCTACATCCTGCAGAGGCTAATGATCCACAGATGACCTGATAACTGTACAGCTGCTACTGTGTGTGTGTGTGTGTGTGTGTGTGTGTGTGTGTGTGTGTGTGTGTGTGTGTGTGTGTGTGTGTGTGTGTGTGTCTCCTGTACAAACACCTGCTTCAGTATTCAAACAGAGAAAGGAAGTCCTCCTCACTTGGCACGGAGCGTGATGATTGGCCAAGGCAAGAGGTGAGGAACTGAATGGGGGCACATCAAAAGCACCCCCACCATGATGTCATTTGGCACTTCCTTCAGAGCACCTCGAACGCTTTAATCCAAAGTGTAAAGTTTATACCCCCCCCGTCTGTAACAGTGTTGTGAACCCCCCTGTGGAAAGGTTAAAGGTACGATCCGCTGAGCCAAAGGGGCTTCGTCTTTATGAAGGACCCTGCAAACAGGCCAGGATGCCCCCCCCCCCCCCCCCCCCCCCCCACTGATATGCCATTATTGGCTGTGTCATTGGAGCCAGAGAGTGTCTCTCTCCTCAGTTGTGCCCCATCAATAAGTCTGTGGGGGTGCACATGGGTGTCTTAGGGAGAGGCAGGGGCCGGGGCGGTGGGGGGGGTTTTGTATTGGCCTCCTGCGGGCCCCCGTCACTGTCGGCTCTGTCTGCTGGGATGGGGGGGGGCAGCGGGGGGAGGCGGGGCAACGACATGGAGCCGTGGTGATAGTGCAGGTGGGGGTGGGGGTTGTGGCGGAGGTGGTGAGGGGGGGGGATGCGAGAGCAGGAGGAGGGGGGGGGGAGGCAGGGCGCTCCTCAGGCTCTGGATGCGCCGGCACTCCTGGCAGACGCGCACGTGGCTGCAGCCCGACAGGAAGCTGCGCAGCGGGGCGGGGGGGGCCACCAGGGCCGAAACCGGGGGAGGGGGGGGTGGAGGCGGCGTGCTGGTGTTGGCGCCCAGCGGGTCCTCCAGGAGCCTCTGGGGCCCCGGGCCCAGATCGGGGCCTCCTCCCAGGCCCCCCCCCAGCGAGCCGGGCCCCCCCCGGTACAGTTTGCCGTTGCTGAGGCGCATCTCCCGCACCAGGCGGATGGGGCGGGGCGTGGCCAGAGCCAGGCGGGAGGGGTGGCGCAGGACGCCCCCCCCCGCGCTGCTGAGGGGCCGGCGCCGGCGGGAGCGGGAACTCTTCTTAAAGGAGACAGCGCTACGGAACTCTGAGAGCATCTCCTGACACACTGAGACCTGTAAACAACATAAAAACATTAACTGTACCTCCTTAGATAATGTTTATTCATTCATATTTGTTAGTTGTTTTGTACTTTTTCTATTGTCTGTCTTAAACATTTTATGAATTGTAAAATTGTAATGAATGTAAAATGTATCAACTTCTTTTTCAGTGTTGAGAATACATACATTGATGTCAGTATAAAGAGGCTGTGGCTGGATATTGTATCTGGACACGGTCCTGACAATAAAACCAGATATATTGAACTATTGATATTAAAGCGCAAACACAGTCAAACCTTTGTAACTCTGGGGAACACATCCTTTGTTTATTTAAAAACCATGTATACAACAATAATATAAAAGGGAGCTTTATTAATTTGTTGTATTAGTAATTATTATCAATGTTAACTGTAACTGCGTTTAGTTTTGTATTCTCTAATATACAAATCTTTACGTTGGATATACTTTAGGAAAATAAAAACTAGCAACATGTTTTAATGTGACAGAAACATTAACATTAATTTTCATTAAGAAACCTGATGATGAAAAATGCATATTCCTCACACACACACACACACACACACACACACACACACACACACACACACCACACACACACCACACCACACACACACCACACACCACACACACACACACACACACACCACACACCACACACCACACACACACACACACACACACACACACACACACACACACACACACACACACACACACACACAGGCGACCTACTGAGGTGTTAGAGCTGAGGTGGAGGCCGGGGGCGGGGCAGGAGGAGGCTGAGAGAGGAAGAGGAGGGTGATGATGAAGATTTACCTCGTCCGTCTCTGCGCTGCGCCGCGTCGACCAAACAAACTCCATGATGGCCACGAAGACGGCGATGATGAGGCCGCAGATCAGAACCACGAAGATCCCCCCAATGTTCTCAATGCCCAGACCTGAAACACACACACCGTTAGGTATGTGTGTGTGTGTGTGTGTGTGTATGTATGTATGTATGTGTGTGTGTGTGTGTGTGTGGTGTGTGTGTGTGTGTGTGTGTGTGGTGATGTGTGTGTGTGTGTGTGTGTGGTGTGGTGTGTGTGTGTGTGTGTGTGTGTGTGTGTGTGTGTGTGTGTGTGTGTGTGTGATGTGTGTGTGTGTGTGTGTGTGTGTGTGTGTGTGTGGTGTGTGTGTGTGTGTGTGTGTGTGTGTGTGTGTGTGCATGTGTGTGTGTGTGTGTATAGTAACCAGTCTTGCTGGTATATATATATATATCTTGTCAAATGTAGCATTTAGCTCAATAAAGCATCATAAACAATTTATAATCTGATAATCTGTATATCTTTAAGGTCATTTATATCATATCTTATCTTGAACATTGTTAGTGATTGAACTAAACTGAGATGTCAGGATGCCAGCGGCTGTGTGATTCTCCTCTGAACTTTTAGGGATGTTTTCTTTGAGAGGGACTGACCTACTCATGGCTTTGATCCATCTTAACCTCAACCACAGTCCCTCACAATCACCACTACACTGCATTTACTGGCAAACGCTTCAATGGAGGAGAAACAACCACTGGTTGTCTTTAAGCTTATCAGAGGACACATATAACCTGTCTCTGTTATCACCCCCCCCGGGGGTCAACAGATACAGGAGGGAGAGGACATTTTGTCCAACATGGAGTATACAACACTTTGATTGGCTTTCTGGTAGAGTCTGGATGTAAAGATGGACATGGTTCTCTCAGGTGTCTGCTCAGTGTCTCGGCTCTGCTGTGACACTCACCTTTGGCCCGGTGGTCCTCCTCTTTGGGACACTGCCCCCCCTCCCACCAGCGTCTCTTCAGGATCTCCAGCCGGTTGCTCTCCTGCAGCTGTAGGATCCCCAGAGTGATCTCCTCTTTGTAGGGAGAGCCTGAGAGGACAGAGACATCATTCACATTCTGAATTCAGTCTAAATTATCAAAACTATAAACAGACTTTACATTTAAAGAACATGCTGCTCTGGTTATTGACTCAGGAGGAAATAACACTGTGTGCCAGATGAGCACAATTCATGCTGAAACTCCAATGCTGTGGTTGGGTTAATGGCTGTCGGAGTACAAATGAACCACACCAAACTCAGGGGTATGATTGACAGCCATCCATAAACTGACCCCACCACAGTGAATCGTTTCCTGGGACATTTTTGATATGACGTGTTGATGGCGTCAGAGAGATGTGTTATATTTCGCAAACACGTTAAAATGTCTTCCCTGTCAAATTATGTTATTCCCACAGTATATATTAACTTATGTGTCAGCTTTTTTAGCCAGAAGTAGTATTCATGCTGTTGGTGCTAGACAGAAAAACATGTAAGAGATGACAAAATGTAGTCTCACATAAGACAGTGACTCTCTTTTAAGATATGAGAAAAAGCCTGCTTACTGTTTTGATATACGTTTTCAACACTTATTTTTGCTATGAATAAGTTCTATTATTTTATTTCATTTAGAATTGAGAATACATCTAAGGAACACATTTGTGTATTTGATAGAATACACATATTAAAGGGGACCTATCATGCAAAATGCACTTTTATACGTCTTTTATACATGAATATGTGTCCCCGGTGTTCCAGGGAACTCACCAAGTGTCAGAAAACACAACCCTCTCTATTTTCCTCCATACCCAAATCTCTAAAAAAGGGGCTGCAACGGATCTGATACAGACTGATCCAGATTTGAACACTTCTATGTCGTCACAGAAGTGGCGCTACGGCTATTGGGCCAACTCTCCACCTATCAGGGGAATGTGGGGTTGGGCCACGGCCGGCCATTGCCGCTCGAAAGCGCTGGAGACGCTGTAGTACATATGCCAGGCCTGTAAGTGGCGCTGTAGTCTGCCACAAAAGCAGCGAAGAAGACTTCCTGCCCATAGTTACCATGGTTACCCTTCTGTTTATTCTCCGCTGAGGCTTTTTTTCTCCCTCCCCGAGGCAAGCGTTTGCTCCCGCTGCTTTAATTCAATGCAATCCCTCCCCGTCGAGGCAAGCACTGTAATTCTCTCCGGTTAGTCCACCAGCAGATGACAAACACCCACCTCTCCGCCTCTTCCAAGGAACGAGGGGACCGTGCGGCAGAGTTTCAGTTAGGTTTTCTTTCGCCGGTCAAGATGTCCATTAAAGTTTAAATCTTCCGGACAAAATTAGAAAAGTGCCGGTCAAAGGTCTTCTTTGTTATTTATTGAGCTTTAAAACAAATGAATAACGACTCTATATAATAAAACAGGAGGACGGAGATCTCTTTTTCTCCCCCTCTTCTGACAGCCCAGCAGCTGATCAGAGCACGGCTCCCCTCTCCTGCAGGGGGGCGTGGTCAGCTGCAGCTCACAGAGATCAGCCCCGTAGACAGCAAACAGCACATAGAGCGAAATGAGGCATGGCTAAAATGCATGATCTGTTTGGTATTTTGAAAACAGAAACGTATAAATATACCTTATATAGGTATGGCCCTACAATATATAATTTAAATATAGCATGATAGGTCCACTTTAAACGAAAGTCAGATCTTCTACTGTTATAAACTTGGTAATTTTATTTTTAAAGTTCTCTGCTGACAGTAGACTTGTCTGTCTTGTTGTTTTGAGGTTATAAATGTATGGTTTATTGCACCTACTGTAAGTTGTTGTGGATAAAGAGTCAGCTAAATGAAATGTGTAGCTAACAGGCTATACTGAGTCACATCTGCATTAAGTGATTGAGCAACCACTGGGCATAGTTTATTATTTTGTACATGAACTCTACACAAGCATAGAACTGAATAACTTTTTTAAAGAGTTTATTTAGTTGTAATTCACTGAGCTTTATTGTCTGAATTCAGGAACATGGCGGCAGGTCGGTCAGGTGCGGTACTTGCTCTGCTATTGTACACGCTACTTTTGAAAATTGTACAACCGGTAAACGTCAATGCAATTCAGCAATCGCTCAACATAAAATATGCGAATACAACTGTCAACTATGATGATCCGATCACTCATGGGACTCATCAGTACAAACAAACAAACAAGATCCACCATGTGTTTGGGTATGGGGAGTACGTCCTGGCTGCTACTCTCCGATTTCCACAGTGGTACAACCCAAGGAGGAAAACGGCAAAATCATCATGCAGGCGACACAGCAACGAGGCTGTGATAATACCCATCTGCTTCTGTCGGGGGATATTCATCAATGTCCTGGCCCGACATCAAACGAAGCAAGCTTCGCTGACAGTGTGACCTGTAACTCTACTTCCCTCCATGTATGCTCCATAAACTATCAGCAAACTCACCTGGTTCAACCTGCACCCTCCCTGAGCACCACGGAGGATCCAGCAGTCCTCCAGCTGCAATATCCAGTCACCGGCCTGGGGTGGCCCAACGAGGGTGATCCAGCCGGGCACCCACTCCCCCCGAGCAACATGGACGAGCCAGAGGTTATCCAGTGGCGTCTCTTCACCAAGCAGCGGCGTCTCTTCACCATCCAGTGGCAGCAGTTCAAGGAGGTCGACATATATCCAGAATCGAACATACCTTGGCGAAAACGAGAGCAGTCCCCGCTACTAGTGGAATCCTTGCCCGCGGCTACGCACGAACTGTCGCCGGTGAATTCACCGCCAGCAGAGATTTCTTCGCCAAGGAGTCTTGCAGCGAAAATGACAACATCTCCGACGGTTCCAGCAAGTAATAACAGCGTATGTACTGTACAGGTGTGGTTCCACACAAGTGACAATGACTGCAGGATAACACCGCTCAAATATGTGTACTCTAACAGCAACAATAACAAGCGTGATAGGGTAGTAAACAGAGCAATCCAAATGAACCGGAAGTGGAAAGTCGTCCAAACTGTAAACAATGCAAGAATTATTTGGGATCCGAAGGTAAAACCAAAGGGTATATTAGGTGGACACCTAAATATACGAAGCCTAAAATCTTGTCTCAAAATTGACCAGATAAAAAATATGTTCCCTGCTGAAAAAACTCTATGCTGGTGAAGCTGGTATTTATGCTGGTCTACCAGCAGTCTTGCTGGTGAAGCTGTATCACCAGCAAGACCATGCTGGTGTACCAGCTTCACCAGCAAGACCATGCTGGTGTACCAGCTTCACCAGCAAGACCATGCTGGTGTACCAGCTTCACCAGCAAGACCATGCTGGTGTACCAGCTTCACCAGCAAGACCATGCTGGTGTACCAGCTTCACCAGCAAGACTATGCTGGTAGACCAGCAAGACCAGCATGGGAAAGCTGGTACAACAGCAAGGTCTCATTATGTTATAGCTGGTGAAGTTGGATTACCATTTGAGCTAAAACTCCGTTTCTAATATGCAATAAGACTACAAAATGCGTCTATACGTATTTTCGATTTTTCCAATCGAAAATATGCTGGTCTATGCTGGTCACCAGCATAGACCAGCATAGACCAGCATACCAGCACAGACCAGCATACCAGCATGGACCAGCATACCAGCATGGACCAGCATAGACCAGCATAGACCAGCATACCAGCATACCAGCATAGACCAGCATACCAGCATGGACCAGCATAGACCAGCATACCAGCATGGACCAGCATACCAGCATGGACCAGCATAGACCAGCATACCAGCATGGACCAGCATACCAGCATAGACCAGCACAGACCAGCATACAAGGGACCAAAACTCAACATATGCTGGATGCTGAACTCCCTCCCTCCCTCCCTCCCTCCCTCTCTCCCCCTCTCTGACATCTCTCCCCTGAACTCTCCACCCTGCCTCCCACCCTTCTCCCCTGCCCCAAATGGTCCTAGACGTTCTGAAATTGAGAACCATAAGTCTAGTGCGCTATGTCTGTCAACTGGAGTACCGCAGGGCTCTGTATTGGGCCCAATCCTGTTTAGCATGTACATCAATGATCTGCCTTCTGTGTGTGGACAATGTGATGTATTAATGTATGCTGATGATACAGTTGTTTTTACTCATGGCAAAACCGCAGAAGAGGCTGCTTCCAAGGTCACTGATGTGTTGGAGAATATTACATCCTGGCTTAACAACAATTGTTTGCAACCAAATATTTCAAAGACAGTGTGTATGTTCTTCTCCAAGGGCCACAGTATTATAACAGAACAAGATGTTTTCTTTTCTGGAAGGAGACTACAGGTTGTCTCGGAGTACAACTACTTAGGAGTACATATTGACACAAACCTCAATTTCAAAACCCATATCAAAAAGGTCTGCAATAAAGTAAAGTTCAATCTGTCAAATGACAGATACATTAGAAACTTCCTATCATCTGCAGCAGCTAAGCTATACCTTCACTCAATGGTCCTCTCCCACATCAACTACTGTCTGATAAGCTGGTCTAATGCACACTCTACAGCTCTAAAACCACTGGAATCACTGTATAAACAAGCACTCAAAACACTAGACAAAAACGCATTCCGGTATCATCATTGTCACATTGTTAAAAAGTATAATCTGTTCAGCTGGGGATGAAAACATCTGCTTAGTTTATAAGATCACTCGTGGGTTGGCTCCTCCTCCTCTGGCTGGCTTCATCAGCCTAAAGTCCACCTCAACCAGGGGGTTACTAGAGGTGCGGCTTGGGGAGACTGCACCATCCCATTGAAGTGCATTCAGCCAGGCTGTCTTTTCATTCCACGCATCCCATCAATGGAATTCAATACCACAACCAATAAGAGAATCCTCATCCTACTACACATTCAAGCACAGTATTAAAAAGTGGCTCATTATTAATCAACAGTGTCAGCACTGATGTGTGGGTGTAGGTGTTAGTATGAGTGCGTATTGTGAATGTTTTATTTATTATCATGACTTGCTCTTATCTGTATTCAGTGATGTCGTCTATTGTAAATATGTATTAAAAAAAAAGAATTTGGTATAACAATGTCGTGGTATTTT